GGGCTGAGAGAGTGTGACTTGCTCAGGGTCACCCAGGGGGCCTCATGACGGGGTTAGGAAGACCCTTCTAAGGTGAATCTCTGTCGTGGGGTCTTCTAGGCAGGGTTTGGTCAGAGGAGGTTTGGTATTGCCTTCCTCTGGGGCTGAGAGAGTGTGACTTAGAAGCATAGAGTGTGACTTGCCCAGGGGGTCTCCTGGTGGACTTAGGGCAAATCTAAGGTGAATCTCTGTCATGGGGTTTTCTTGGCTGGGTTTGGTCTAAGGGGAGTTGTTATTGCTATTCCCTGGGGCTGAGAGAGTGTGACTTGCTCAGGGTCACCCTGGGGGTCTCATGACGGAGTTAGGAAGACTCTATGGTGAACCTCTTTCATGGGGTTTTCTTGGCAGGGTTTGGTTAAAAGGGTCTTTGCCCTTGTCATCTTCTGGGGAGGCTGAGAGAGTGTGACTGGTTCAGAGTCACCGAGTGTGTTTCATGGTGGAGCTAGGGTGACTCTGTCCTGGGGTATTCTTGGCAAGGTTTGTTCAGAAGGGGAGGGGTTTGCCAAAATTGCTTTGCTCTGGGGCTGAGAGAGTGTGACTTGCCTTAGGTCTCCCAGTGGGTTTTTATGGCTGAAATAGGAATTGAACCCCGGTCTCCAGAGTTGTAGTCGAATGCTCAAACCATTATGCCATGCTGGCTCTCAATAGTAGTAGTAGTAGTAATAATAATGATAATGATAATAAATTTTCATCTTGTTGTGTACTTAGAAGTCATTTCATACTTATGACAACCCCTATTAATGGGGTTTTATTGGCAAATTTGTTCAGAGGTTTGCCATTACCTTCCCGAGGTTGAGAGAGTGTGACTTGCCCACTGTCACCCAGTGGGTTTATGTGGCTGAGCAGGGAATTGAACCCTCGTCCCTAGAGTAGTAGTTTGACACTCAAACCACTAGGCCACACTGGCTCACAATAAATAATTATAATTATATAATTTGAAGACACACATGGACAATAGGATGACAATTACTATCGTTGTCTTATTGTTCTTGTGTGCCTTCAAGTTGTTTTATGGCAATCCCAAGGTGAATCTATGATGGGAGTATTTTGGCAAGTTTTTCAGAGGGGGCTTGCTGTTCCTGTGAGGCTGAGAGAGTGGGACCTGCTTCCATGACCAAGCTGGGATTCGAATCCTGGTCTCCAGAGTCTAGTCCAGCACCCAAAACTCTTACCATATCCTTTTCCTCCTCACCAAACTCTTTCTGCCCTTTTTTTCAGATCCCAGATGCAGTCACGGGCTATTACCTGAACCGGGCCGGCTTCGAAGCTTCCGATCCGCGCATGTGAGTTGGGACGAAATTGGGTCTGGTGGTCTCCTCGAGTGGTGCTACGGGTGGCACAGAGGGACATTTAGATGCCGCCACCCCTAACAAGGTTCCCTCACAGTCTCAGGGCCTGGTTTTGGAGCGGTCATTGTCTGGCCTTGGGGCAAGGAGTCCCACAGGCTACTTGGTTACAGCAGAGGGAGAGGAGTCCCCTGTGGTCTCACCCAGTGGCACCACAGCTGGCACAGAAGGACATTGAGATGCCAACTCCCTTAGCAAGATCCTTTTGTCGTCTTTGGGCCTGGCTTTGCAGTGGTCATTCTCTGGTCCTGGGGCAGGGAGTCCCATAGGTTACTTGGGTACAACAAAGGGAGGGAGAATAGGAGGTCCTCAGTGGTCTCCCCCAGAGTGGCACCACCAATTTCACAGACGGACACTTAAATGCCACCCCTCCTCAGCAAGATCCCCTAACAGTCTTCAAGCCTGTTTTTGTGGTAGTCATTCTCTGGTCCTGAGGCAGTGAGTCCCACGGGCCACTTGGGTCCAGCAGAGGCAGAGAGAGAGGGAGGTGCTTTGTGGTCTGCCCAAGAGTGGCACCATGGGTGGAACAGAAGGACATTTGATGCCTTCCCTACAGGATCATGGGCTTTGGGGCTGGTTTTGTGCTCGTCATCCCCTGGCCTTGGAGCATGGAGTCCCACGGGCCATGAGAGCCCCCTCTCCCCCACCCCTTCCTTGCCCCCCTGATATCCTGCCTCCCTTCTGCTTGCAGCATTCGCTTGATCTCCTTGGCTGCCCAGAAGTTCATCTCGGACGTGGCCAACGATGCCCTCCAGCACTGCAAGATGAAGGGCACGGCCTCAGGCAGCTCCCGCAGCAAGAGCAAGGTAGGGGCACTGCCCAGGCATGCGGGGAGGGGGGCGCAAGGAGGCTGTTGGGTTGCCCCCTGCCTACCCAGTTCTTCCTCACTCCTTGCCTCCCTGCAGGACAAGAAGCACACACTGACCATGGAGGATCTGGTCCCTGCCCTCTCCGAGTACGGCATCAACGTCAAGAAGCCCCATTACTTCACCTAGCGTTCCTTTGTGGGGATGCTGGGCATTGCAGCATTAAAGATCTTCTCTGTAATATATCCCTGCCTCTCTTTGTCCCCTTTCAGGCATTTGTGCCATTGTCTTCCCCTGTGACAATGACAGTGTGCCCCCTCCTGTTCACCCAGTTGGCACCAGTGCCATGAGGCTCCTGTTGCCCCCTTCCCATGCCCTGTGGAGGGTCAGGGGTTATGGGAAATTGGGGGGCTGGGGTCTCCTGTGCCTAGATTAATGACCCTCACAAAGATTGTTGACGATAACAAGTTACTTGTAATTAGTTCCATTTTCAACTGACAAGGGATGTCCCTTCATTACATTTTAACTGTAGCTGATTGTAGGCACATTTGTAACTTGTACTTTGTCATAGGTATAAGGGGCTCTCTCTCAAAGGAGGAGGATTACCTGGTTCCGGCGCCGGCTCTCTTTGGGACATAGAGACAAAAAAAAGAGAAGGGAACTTGCAAGGCTCGCATTCAGATATCTGGCTTGTAGTTGCATCATAAAACAACAGCCACCCAGAGCTGGAGTGAGTTAACTTTAGGGGTGTGGAAAATGTAGCCCTTGAAGAAGGGAAACATTTTTTTGGGGGGAAGCAAATACAATGGGGTTGGGGACCTGGAGGTAAGATGCTCAGGCCTGAATCTAAAGGCAGCAAGAGTAGACCTATTGCATTAGCTGCTGAAATGAGTATTCAGTTTTACTACTTCAAACCCTCTTACAATCTTAGCACTGGAAGAGATCCCCATGGATCATCCAGTCCAACTCTTTTCTGCCATGCAGAAAGACACCGTCAAAGCACTGTCATGCAGAAACACAGAATCAAATCACCCCCAACAAATGGCCATCCAGCTTGCTTAAAAACCTCCAAGGGAGCATCTTCCACTGTAGTCAGGCTCTTGCTGTCAGGAAGTCTTTCCTAATGTTGAGGTGGAATCCCTTTCCCTGGAGTTTGCATCCATTGCTCCAGGTCTAGAGCAGCAGAAAACAAGCTTGTTCCCTCCTCGATATGACATCCCTTCAAATATTTAAACAAGGCTATCATCTCACCTCTCAGCCTTCTCTTCTCCAGGCTAAACATCCCCAGCTCCCTAAGTCGTTCCTCGTAGGGATTCATGGTTTCCAGACCCTTCACCATTTTAGTCTCCCTCCTTTGGACATGCTCCAGTTTTTCAACCTCCTTTTTGAATTGTGGTGCCCAGAACTGGACACAGGATTATTCCAGGTGAGGCCTGACCAAAGCACAATAGATTGGCACTATGACTTCCCTTGAGAGCCTATACTTCTGTTAATGCAGCCTAGAATCTCATTGGCCTTTTTAGCTGCTGCATCACACTGTTGACTCATGTTCAACTTGTGGCCTATTAGGAGTCCTAGATCCCTTTCACATGTAAGCTTGTTAAAATAGGTATTCCCAATCCTTTATCTGTGCATTTCATTATTTTTTTCTGCCCAAGTTTGTTTCTCCCTGTTGAAATTAATTTTGTTAGTTTGGGCCCAGCTTTCTAATCTATTCAAGTCATTTTGAATTTTGATCCTCTCATCTGGGCTATTAGGTACTCCTCCTAATTTGGTGTCATCTGCAAATTTGATAAGTAGGTCCTCTATTCCTTCATCCAAGTTATTGGAAGTCTAAGGCTTTCACGGCCAGCATCCATAATTTTATGTGGGTTTTCCAGGCTATGCGGCTGCATTTTGGGAAAAATTATTCCTGATGTTTCACCTGCATCTGTGGTTGACATCCATCCTCTGAAGATGCCAGCCACAGATGCAAATGAAACATCAGGAATAAATTTTTCCAGAATGCAGCCACATAGCCTGGAAAACCCACATAAAATTATGGACACCGGCCATGAAAGCCTTAGACTTCCAATAACTTGGATGAAGGAATAGAAATGTGAGGAATAAATTCTTCCGGAACATGGCCACATGGCCTGGAAAACCCACAAAAAGCTGTTGAAACTCATTTTGTGAGTTTTTGTCCAGATTTCTGATCTGATAATCGAATACTGTGTTGTTCATCTCTTGGGCCCCAGGGTGAAAAGTGGAGCATCTTCCCCCCTCCCCCATGAAAAACGCTTTCTGCTTTCAATATCACAAGGGCTTTTATTGAGTGCCCCCTTGGGGGCTGCGTAGAAAAGAGTAAAAACAACAGTGGAAGGGCGAGGCGGCGTGCGCTGGCAGAGTGCAACAGGGCAGCTTACAAATGGGGGATCTGGCATTATAGGGGGTCTGTTAAAGGCAGCATGGGGGAGAGGCATTAAAAAGGCCAAGGCAGTTTGCAGCCCCATTCCCTCCATGAATCCCTCTGCCCACGGAGGGGGGGTCCAGGCGGTGGCAGGCTCGTCTGTACCGTTTTGGCGCTTCCTTCCTATCCAGAGCGCCTCCCAAAAGGCACTTGGGGCAGCTCCATGGCTAAGGAGGGGTGGCATGTGTGGCAACCCCTTCCCAACCCCCCCTCACTTCTCCTGCATCTTCTCCAAGATGGGGACAATCATATCAAATTTGGGGCGCTTGGCGGGGTCCTCATTCATGCAGATCTTCATCAGCTTGCAGATGTGAGGGGAGATGCCCGGTGGGATGGTGGGCCGCAGCCCCTCCAGGGCCACCTGGGGAGACACCGGGCAAAATGAGCTGGACTGGCACGTGGTGGGGCACTAGATCCTTGTGGGCCTCCCGCCCTCACCCTCACCTTCATGCCAATCTCCATGTTGGAGAGGTCAGCGAAGGGGACCTCCCTTGTTACCAGCTCCCACAGCAGCACCGCAAAACTCCACATGTCCGCTGAACGCCGATTGATCTCCTCCGCCTTCTTCTGCAAGGCTGTTTGTGGGGGGAGAAGACTAAACCCTTAGAATCATAGAGTCACAGAGTTGGAAGGGCCCTCAAGAAGTTCCTATTTAGGTGGAATCTCTTTTTCCTGTAGCTTGAATCTGTTGCTTCCAGGCCTAGTCTCTGGAGCCTTTTCCCTCTTCAATACGATCTCCCTGCAAAAAACTACCTTGCTCCATCCCCAATATGACACCCCTTCAAATATTTAAACCGGGCTATCATGTCCCCTCTTAACATTCTTTTCATCAGACTAAACATTCCCAGCTCCCTTAGACTCTCCTCAGAGGGCTTGGGGGTTTCCAGACCTTTCACCATTTTGATTGCCCTCTGGACACGCTCCAGCTTCTCAACATCCTTTTTGAATTGTGGTGCCCAGAACTGGACGCAGGATTATTCCAGGTGAGTCTCACCAAAGCAGAATACAGTGGTACTATAACTTCTCTTGATCTAGACACTATATTCCTGTTGATGCAACCAAGGATCACATTTGCTTTCTTGGCTGCTGCATCACACTGCTGATTCATGTTCAGCTTGTGGTCTACTAAGACCCTAGATCCCTTTCATATGAACTGTTGTCAAGCCAGGTGTCTCCCATCCTGTATCTATGCACTTCATTTCTTCTGTCCAAGTGTAGGACCTTACATTTCTCCCTATTGAAATCCCATTTTGAATTTTAATCCTGTCCTCTGGAGCACAGAGACATTGCTTCCTCTCACTTGATT